TGGAAGGAGAAGCGTGCTGAGATCAACAGATTGCAGAAGAGTAGGAATTTCAAACAAGTTGCCACTGTTCAGAAACAGTTTCGCCAAGATGTGACAGATGTTAAGCGCAGGGCTCGCTGCTGGAGGTGCCAACAAGTGGGACATTTCTCCAGGGACTGTCCAAAACCCAAGGGTTATGGCAAGGGTAGCAGCACGTCCAACTCTGGGGAGAAGTCGTCCTCAGCTTCTGGAGCAGCAATGGTGGAAGACTTTGTTCCATGTGATCCCAATAGTTCCGAAGTGTATCTGGTCTCTTCACCAGGTTTTGGTATCATCGACAGTGGGTGTGGCAAAACCTTGATAGGACAGAGCACCTTGAATGCACTGTTCCGCCAGTATGCGGAGATTGGACAACAGTTGCCAGAGCTTCGGAGAGAAGAGCACCTGTTTCGCTTTGGGAATCAGAACGAGGAACTGGCTCAATATGCGGTCACCCTTCCCATTGGCATCGGAGGTCGTGGAGGTCAAGTGGATGCCTCAGTGATCAAGGGCACGGCTCCTCTTTTGCTGAGCAGGAGCACCATGCGCAGTTTGGGGGCAGTCCTAGACTTTCAGAAAGAAACGCTTTCTCTCTCCGGCGCAAAACCAGAAAGGTTGAAAACAAATGCAGCGGGGCAGTATATCATCAGTATCATGGATTTCCCAGCAAACAGTGGACCTGTCGGTGGTACAGAAATCCCTACTTTGGGGGTGCCAACCAAAGCCTTGTCCAAGCGTGAAGCTCGGGTTTTAGAGTCTTTGGCTGCGGCATGGCAAAAGGGTAACTCCAAGTGCGTAGTGGCAGAGCTTTTCTCACCACCACGTTTCACCACTGAAGCGGAACGTCAGGGTCTTACTGGGTTGAGTTTTGATTTGAAAAATGGATACAACTTGCTGGATAGAAGAACACAGCGAGAAGTAGAGGCTCAACTGGATGAGGTACGACCTGAACTGTTGGTATTGTGTCCAGAGTGCAAGCATTGGGGAGGTTGGTATCGACTCCATGAACACAAGCTTCCAAACTGGAAGAGAGTGTGGAACCGCAATGTGGCCGAACGCCAAGTGGAATTCTGCATAGCTCAAGCCGAGCGTCAGTTGAGACGCGGGGGGCGCGTTCTGTTCGAGCATCCGTGGTCATCAGGTGTTTGGAATCATCCACCCATGGCCAAACTTCTCAAGAGCATGCACCTGTGTAAAGCATCCATGTGCGCCTATGGCCTGAAGAACCCTGACAACGGCTTGCCGATCCTGAAGCCAACAGGACTCGCCGTATCACATGAGGACATGGTAGGTTTAGCACAAACATGCCCAGGACATGATGTACACCATACCATAGCCGGAAAACTTAATGATGGGTCGTCCTTGAGTGAGTGGACAGCAGCCTATACTCAACAGTTCTGCCAGCATTGGTTGTCATGTGTCACGAGTGTTTGCCATCTTTGTGATCACGCTGCGGTTGAGGACAACTTCTCAACTTTCAACCTTACTGAGAGCGTTGTAGGAGAGTCTTCCGAAGCCCTTGCAGCCGAAGCCACCACACCAGAGCAGATTCGTATGTCGCTGAAACGTTTGCACAATAATTTGGGGCATCCTAGTAACCAAGACTTAGTAAGGGTTCTTACTAATGCTGGGGGTTCCAAAGAAGCCATCGAAGAAGCCAAGAAGTACAGTTGTGAGGTTTGCATTCAGCGCCAGCGACCGACTCCGTCTCTGCCCGCGTCAGCTCACCAGATTTTGGACTTTGGACACAGGGTAGGACTGGACGTGAAGATACTTCCAGGCTGGACTCAAAATCAGAAGGTGAAGTGTTTGAACATTGTTGACTACGGGTCCAGTTTTCAAGTCATGTGCCCCTTTTATGAAAATGAAACCGGTCCTCTCCTGAAACGACTCTTCGATGAGAACTGGTTGCAATGGGCCGGTCGACCGGTCGAGATCATCGTGGATCCAGCTCAGACCAATTTATCTGAAGCGTTTGCAGGTGCTCAGGAGCAATCAGGCATTCGAGTTCTCAGCATTGCAGCCGAGGCACATAATCAGCTAGGCAAGGTTGAGAAACATGGTCATTTGTTTGAAGTGATTCTCCAAAAGGTCTTAGACTCAGCGCAGCCTAGTTCCAAAGAGGAATACCACCAGTGCATTCGTGAAACCATGAATAGCAAGAATGAATCCCTCAATCATCATGGCCTCAGCCCTTGTCAACATGTGTTCGGTAGGAATCCCAGGGTGCCCGAAGACCTGATTCAGGAATCTCCGTGCGTGATTGCCGCGACAGCACCGTTGCACAGTGAAATGCATGCGAGAAGCCATGCCATCCGAACTGCAGCCCGAGTTTCCATGGCACAGTCTCAAGATTCGAAAGCCTTGCGAGTGGCTTTGAATGCACGGCCAAGGGTTGAGCGTGACTTCCTGCCAGGGGACTTCGTAGCTTACTGGCGTACTCAGAAATATGAGAGAGGAGCCAGATTAGTTGGGGGTAGATGGTTCGGTACTGCAATTGTCATGGGTAAAGTGGGGCGTAACATTTTAGTGTACCATAGACGCAACATGTTCAAAGTCTCCCCAGAACACCTGAGACATGCCACGTTGGAAGAACGAGCAGTAGCCCAGTCAGATGGTAGAGAGATGCTAGGGATTGCACAGTATGTTGGAGAAAATGGATCCCTCCGAGGAAGTCACTATGTGGACCTTACACAGCAGGGATCACGTGAAGGTCCTGACAATTCAGCTGTAGCAAGACCGACAGCCGAGCATGAGCCTAGCCAGGCCAATCCTGCTCTGTCTCCTGCCAGCGTCCCGGCTCAGTCCGCCAGTCCGGACAACATGGACATTGTAGCTCCCGGTGAAATCATAGACAAAAGCCCTGCTGAGCCGGAATCCTCAGGTGGAGACAGCTCCAGTAGCAATCCTTTAACTGCAGCATCCTTTTCGGCAAGACAAGAACCTGGTTCTCAAAGTGCCTATGGTCCAGTTAGACATAGGCATCATGGAAAGAAACCTGAACCAATGACCACAGTGTGGCGTCCGGCCGAACTGGTGCCATCAGATTTTATGGAAGCCCATCAGGAGATCACGTCTCACAAGCGCCAGCCCAGTCGAGCTTTGAGTAGCGAGCCACCGTGCAAATCCAGCAGATCAGAGCCAGATCCGAGAGACGAAGCTCTCTTGTGTGAGGCAAAAGAGCACGATGAAGTGTTTCTCGTCACAGAGCAGCAAGGGGAATCCGCTGAAGTTTTTGTTGCAAATTTTCTCAAAAAGAAGTTGCAAACAGAACTCCATCACTCCAATAATCCAACTGACCTTCAGGAAGCTATCGACGAGGCAAAAGTGACAGAGTGGCTGACTCTTCAGGATGAGAAACGAGCCCTGCATGTAGTTCCTCCGCATCAGGCACATAGCATCCGCAGACACCAAAGCCATAGAATCATGTCAAGTCGTTTTGTCATCACCAAGAAAACTGAGGACGGTGATTCCAAGATCAAGGCCAGGTGGTGTCTATGGGGTCATCACGATCCAGACCTTATCCAAAAAGTGTTGGCTGGAAAGTGTCACTCACCTACGTTGTCACAGCTGGCCCGAAACCTGCTCCTGCAGCTCATTGTCAGCCACCAGTGGACCATGAAACTTGGGGATATCAAAGGTGCTTTTCTAGAAGCTGATGTCCAGAAGCAAATGGCCGACAATCCAGTGTATGCAGAGTTGCCACCAGGAGGGGTTCCAGGCGTTGAAAAGGGGTCCCTGATTCAAATAACTGGTAACATCTATGGAGCAAACGATGCACCCCATAATTGGTACGTTGAGTTCGATGCCGAAGCCCGTCGTGCTGGTCTCACACGCAGCAAGTTTGACAGTTGCTTGTATTTCTGCCATGGACCACAAGGGGATTTACAAGGGGTTTTGGGAGCTCACGTTGATGATACCATAACTGGGGGTCAGGGCCACGAATATGATCAAGCCATTGCCTATTTGCGCCAGAGGTTTCCTTTCAGAAAATGGAGAGAGGGTCAAGGAGAATTTCTGGGGGTCATGTACGAACAGTGTCCAAACACCAAAGAAATTACCTTTCAGCAAACCGAATATGCACAGCATATCAGGCCGATCAAGGTTTCAAGAGACCGAGCCCACACTCCATGGAAGCCAGCCACGGCAGCCGAAATGGCTTCCCTGCGCGCGGTGAATGGTGCATTGGGATGGCTGTCATCCCAGAGCCGGCCAGATTTGGCAGTTCAGACATCCATGTCCCAACAGTGCTTTCCTCAACCATGTGTTCAAGATCTACTGGCGGCCAATCAGGCCATTCGTAGAGCTCGTCAACATGCAGACATGAAGTTGAAGGTTCCCTATATTCCTCCGGAAGATCTCACAGTAGCTTTTTGGTCCGATGCAGCATTTGCAAATCACATAGATCACAAGACTCAAGGTGGTTGGTTGTTGGCTCTGACAAGTAAAGAAATGTCAAAAGGGAATGATGTTCCATTGTCATGCTTGGGATGGAAGTCATATCGATTGCCAAGGGTTGTATCCTCCACCATGGGGGGTGAGTCTCAAAGTTTTGCAAGTGCCTCAGGGGTAGCCGAATGGTGTCTTCTGATTTTGGCCGAAGCAATAGACGGTCCTTTCAGTCTTAGGGACACAGACCAGGTGCTGAAGCGCCGCCAACCTATCGGAATGACCGACTGCCGTTCGTTGTATGATCATCTTATTTCACTTAGGCTTGTCCAGTTGTAACTGGCTACTTTCCAAATAGGAACTGGCCCTTGAGATGGCTAATTGCACAGTCACAGTTTTGCGGCATTTTCGTTTTTTTTCCCCTTTTGCTCACAGCAAGTCTCGCTCGCACAATTTCGTGTGCACATAACCCAAATCATCAATGGCCACCGCCACAGAAATCAGAAAGTGTTGTCATCAGAAAACCTGAATTCTGAACTTATGGTTGAATCACTTGTCAAAAAAGATGGCCATTGAGCCATGTAAGACATCAATCAAGCACCCGAAAAGCTGAGCAATCGCTTCACGGCCGGGTGATCAGAATGACCTTCCTTTCGAACCCACCTGGGATGCTACCCGTGGCCACTGGACTCATACCTATAAAAATCACAAACCATAACATATCAAGTTGTCACACTCAACAACCATGTGTCAAATTTGCCAAGCATAAGGGTTTTGCGCCCTGGCACTCCATCCTGGCATGGTCCGCCATCCGCTTGGCTGTCTTCGGAGAGTTCTTTGCAACTTTGGCAGCCTTGTGGATGGTGGAGTATACCTGAAATGGGGGCCAGCTTGATTCTGATGATGAAGAAGAAGATGATGATGATGATGATGGTAATTGTTTATTCTGAAGGGGGGCCAGCACAATTTCCATTAGCTTCATACCCCTTAAACGTTGCATGAAGAGTTTTGCAAATAACCCGGGTTCACTAATTGAGCTGAAGCACGGAATGCATTTTCTTTTCAACCTCATCCTTTGGCTTGCGCGACGTTGCTTTTGCTGCTGCTTTCGGCTTGGCTGCTTGCTTGGCTTTTCCTTTGGGTTTGGTATCCACGGTGCCGCGGGCGTGGGACTTGGCTTTGGCCTTTGGGGCTTGCTTGGCTTTGGCGCGGGGCTTGTCGCATGTCTTGCGGGCTGCGCGAGTGCGCTTTGGCTTCGCAGAGTTTTTTGGCTTTGGCGTCATGGGTTCTGTCTCTGCTGGCGGGGTTGTGGGCATTCCATAGTATTGGGTGTCATCTGCACTGGGTGTTCCGGTCAAAGGCTCATGCATGTCACCGGTGACTGAATCTTTGGCGCTTGGCATTGTGTCCAAAGAGTCAGTCGTGTCATCAATGCCTCTAAGTTCTGTGTCCTGTTCTGGTTCAAACACCATGTCATCCATGTCATGCATGTCATCACCACCCTCTGCGGCCAATGGCCCGTCCATGTCCTGGTTCTCGGTGTTCTCCTGGCGGGGAAATTTGACCCAAATTGAAAACATCATTTGACCCCATTGAAATGTGAGTGTGATGACTCCATGTTGTCAGACCCATTGCCATCAAATTAAGATGTTATAGCTTGTCAGGCCACTTGCCATCACATCAATAAGATGCTATGGTAGGAATAATTGGCAAAGGCATATTATTTTTGATTCATATACTTCGTATCTAAGAAGTAGGAAGCTATATGTAGCAGGAAGAGTATCAGGTGGATTTCGGGTAAAATCATTTTGAAAACCAATGCTGGGGGCCCAATCGTTTTCATTACCGAATACTTGTGACTCAACACCCCGGCAATCCACACCACGGCTTCAAGGTATGGCACATATGGGATCCTCAAGGACGACAGCATCTAGATTCTCCATGGCATAGCTGCGGTGGAGTGGTGGGCGCAAGTCCTGCGCAATCAGTTTTTGAGAAGTTGAAATTACCGATACTGTTTTTTTGGGGCAACAGTTGTTGAGAAGTTGAAAATTGATGGCAACAAATCAGATAGATCAGACCATCATGCACTCTTAGAGAATTCGATGGAGAGAGAGAGAGAGAGAGTCCTTCATGCAGTCAGCATCGGAATCAGGTTGTGTATCGGCCACTTCCAAACCCTGGGACGACACACCAAAAAAACGCTTTGGATCTAATATGGGTTGTGTTTTCCACTGAACTCTGATGCCTAATTACAACTTCATCAAAAACAAGATGTTTATATAGATGGTTCCTTGTCTACACTGGGTGTTTTAAGCACCTCAAGGGCCGCCAGCTTCTGCGGTGAAGGAGAGAGGCCCTCTTGGTTCTCAATGAACACCTCCGGTAGAGTCTCGTATGCATCCGGCTGGGGCAGAGAAGCTTCCATGTACCTAGGCGGATGAAATCACATAGTGTATTTATAGTTAATATATAATACATATTACAATAAAGGGGCATGTTTGGTGTATGTCTTAAATGGTAAGCAGTAAGCAAGGGACAGGGAAGCTGATTCCATGTCCAATGGAGAAGCTGGTGCCATTTCCCATGGCCATTCTTGCGACCTGAATGCACATTGTTTTAACACATGTATGAATCAGAAAAGAGTGAACCAATAAGTGTGATCTGCTTCAATTCTGATGGTGAAGGCCTGTAAGTGTGGTAGGACTCAACGCCTTCAATCATGTACTGAAACGGCAATGGCTCTTCAGCCTGAACCATGGGGGGACAACTGTCCAACATAAGCTACTTTGAGGGTGCAACTATTTCAACATGCGACTCATTCCAACAACTATATGTGCCTCATCGGTGCTCTTCTTGGCAGGTTTCTTCTGGGTAGTCTTTGCACTGGTTGCTGGTCGTTTCTTGGGTTTTGTCTCACCTTCATCTTCTTGGTCAAACAAATCATCCAAACCATCCAAACCACCAAAAAGGTCATCATCGCCATCTTCATCATCATCTTTTTTTCCCCACATGAGTATGCTCTTGGTCTGGTTCATCATCTTCTTCCTCTTCTTTACGGCCTTTCTTTTTCAACTTCTTTTCTTTGTCTGATTTCTTCTTGCTGTCTTTTTTGTCCTTGGTCTTGGATTTGCTGTCCTTGGTGTCTTTGTTCTTTTCTCCGTGCGGCGAGGATTCATCGGAGGACTGGAATCTGGCTGGCACGATGTGCATGGATGCACCTGTGCCTCGGATCAATGGTGTTGTGCGAGGAACATATGACAAAGCATGTATGTGGGTCCACTCATCTAAGAACTGGACAAGTTATATATATAATAGTTAAGTTATATATATGTGTATATATATATATGTTAGATAACATTGGTGTGATAAATCAAGACTAGTTTCCAGCACTCCCACTGCTGGCGGCCATCCCACGGCTGGCAGCCATCCCTGATGATGGCGCACGGGTCGGTGCTGCGGAGCGCTTGTTCTCTGACAAGAGCTTGTCTAGGTCAAAGGCCTAGGATCAGAGATGAAGGGGGCAAGATAGAGGAACGCAACGGTTGCCATAAAGATCCATAAAGATCCATAAAGTATTCTTGACAACATCTCCTATCTGATTTCTGAACTTGATTTGATTCTTGACTATTTGGCATACTATTTGGATTCTTCAATGTTGTTCACATTGCAACTGAGTGGCAGGGCGACTAGGGGCCATAGGTCTCTTGTCCACAGATTCAGATGTGATTATCTGCACATCTGAGTCACCGGAATCGGCACGACTTAACTTCCGCTTTGTCTCCATGGCCACTACTACAATGCACCACAGTGCCTAGGATCTTGGATTCTAACCTCTTCCTGTTGAAAGATGGATTGCAAACATAGATACATATGCGGTTGGACTTGGCCACACCAAACTTCGACCCCCTACTCGTCAAGAATTGCAACTCAGGATACCTCAGTGATACCTCAATGCAAGCAGCGGATTGCAAAGGCCACTGGTTTTGATGTCTCACATGGTCTGAGCTGCACCGGTTCCACACTCACAGCAATCATTTCCAATCCAGAAAGAACAATGGCTTGAAGTTTTCCAAACTGAATAGATTTTAATTTTGATGATTTATTATTTCTATGGCTAAGAAATCAGCTTGGCCAGAGTGTGAATGTACAGCTTCACTAGAGTATGCTTGCGTAAGACCCAAATGGTCTAAGGATCCAAGGAGGCAGGCAAGGCAACGTTTGCCCATAGGACGAGCTTTGATCCATGGCAAGGTTCTATCACAGCCATCCAAAATTTGGAAGGAATTGGAGAGTATAATCCATTGATTCCAAGTTTGGGTTTTGAACCTTCCTGTTGTGGGAACCTTCTCAAAAGCCAATGGAATCCGTCCCGCCGCCACTGCTAGGTCAAAACAGTTTCACAACCACTTGGTCGAGGTCAAGAACTCCCGACAGGACAGCAACTGGTCGGATCGGGACGATGGTCTTCAATCCCGCAGAGCTGTTGGTATCCAGCCTGCCCAAATGATATGAGGGCCCAATTCACTAAGAAAATGAAAGAAGTTCATGACAAAGTTGTTGACTGAGAGAACCCAATTAAAAAGAAACCTTTTTGTTTGGGATTTCAGGCGAGGCGCCTGACACGCCAACCGATCACCAACCGTTTGGCTTTCTTCAATTTGCCAACATCAAGAACCGAACCAAAGCTCTTAGAGGTCAAAGTTCGGGTAGATCCAGACTTCCTCTGTTTCTTCTTTGGTGGTTTCCCCTCTCCCTGGTCTGGTGATTTGGGTGGGTCCATCAAGAACGCCAGAGGCTTGTCGCATTCCAACTGGAGCGGCTCATCGGAGGAGATGTTGTGGTGGGTCACGGCCAACTTCACCTGACCATAGCTGGTTGCTTCCCAATGCATAGATGATGTATCTGTTATTTCAAATTATCTACCATATGATTCTCATATGATTTGAATATGTTGATATCATGTTTGGTGGTGCAATGTGTTTGGCAAATATGAGGGCAATTTTTACAGACACACACACACACACACGCACTCACACACATATATGTATATTTGGATTAAATTTACATCATAATAACTAGAAGATATATGCATATATTTCTATACATTTCTTAGATTACTATACATTTAGGTTTTAGATGGATGATGTGTTTGGCAATTTTTATACATTTCATTTCCTATATAGAAAAATATAATAAAACATCACGTGAACGACATATAAGATAAATACTCATGAAACGCTTATTTGTATATATATATATATATAAAACATGCGTTTACACACATATATATATATAGATATTATATATACATATATGTATAAAACTGCATATCAGTATTCTATGAAATGACTATATGGTAGATATGGTATTATACACACATATATATATATATATATATGCATGTGTGTGTGGGCGTATGTAAAACAATAATCTGATCCTTGAAAAGTATATGTGGCACATGCCTAGCCTCGCCACTGTCCTGGAGCTCACGCATGACTGTGGAAAGGTAGCTTGGGGTGTCCACACAAGGTAACCCTGAAATGTGTTCTGGCAAGCCCTTCTTTTCCAGAATCACCACGGTGCTGGGGGTCGCGCAAAAGCTGAACCAGCGTCCGAGCGGATCCTCCAGGATCTCCCCGGCATCCTTAAGATAGGAATGGTAAGATTGGACAACAAACTGGTTGAGTTTGGGTCAGCCAAGAAAAACCCTAGGAATTTGGGTTTGGCAATTCTGAACCTGCCAGGATTCAGCTCCCACCCTCCAATCTCCGCTTCCGAAGCTGAATCTCAGCAGGCGGGGCACGAGAATCTATTATGAAGAGCATTGGAACCCCAATACCTAAAGACAAAACAACACCATCACATTGGGCCCAGACTTATAGCAATTGGGAATTGAATCTCAAAATAGGGTTATGTTCCAAGCAAGAAGTAGCTCGCGGTGTAAGAGGAACTGGTTCTTGCTGCGTGAAACCAGGAACAGCGGCAGACCTTCTTGTCCACAAATCATCTCAGCACAGTTGTTGATCACACAGTTGTACCTTCCAACAGGAGGGCCGCCGGTAAGGTATTGAATTAATGCATTTGTTGTCTATGTTTACCGAGCCGGCTGAATAGTGAAACCGCATAGAAACATTGTGGGTTATCTAAATTTTTGAATTTATTTTTGCTAAATCAGACATTGAATGAGTTCAGACTACATGGGTCATCCCCACCCTCCAGGTAAAGGTAAAATCCAAGTTGCGGTTTTTGCAAGTTGGCAACATCGGCCTCCTGCTTGATTTCCTCCGTGTCCAAGCGAATCCGTTTGGCAGGGTTCCTGGCATCGTCTTCTTCAGCTGGCCTTGTCAAGGCAAGATGAATGTGGGAATGGGAGCACAGGGCTTTCAAACATGTAAAACATAATCCGAATATAGTAGTGGGCTTCACCTTGATATCCAAAAAGTAAGACCATATCATAATAACATACGGGATCAGGCTTCAGGATTAAAAATTACTATATTTTCAAAGTTTGCGGTGTTATTATCCTATGTTTACTTTGATGCACCCTAGCTAGCCTGCTCTCTGTCGATTCCACCCAGTACTCACCATCTTTGTTGTACTTGGCGTTGTGAGATTCGATTGCAGTTGTGACCTCATCCTTGAACTCGGTTTCCAGCCACTTCGAAGCCAAAGCTTGCAAGATAACCAACCTGTCATGCTTCTTCACGGTGACCTGATACTGTTTCCCAGTGTCTTGTGGGGCAACATTCTGCAAAGCCGTGAGCACTGGCGTGTAGTCAGGGAAACCACATAGTTTCAGATCCCCTGTCCTGGCATCTTCGTACACCCGGTTTGACACACGCTGGATCAGGTCCTCGTGCTGTCTGTCAAGGACAATGTTGGCGCAAAGGACACGCCGGCCATCTGTGATCTCCTGCAGTGGTGAGATATGTCAGGGAAATAGGGGAAAAATGGTGTGGACAATTGTTTAAAAAGATGATTGAATCCTTTTTCAGTAAATGTGTTATCTCCCTTTTATCTTTTCTGTGGGGTTGGAATGTTTGAACAAAACAGCCTCAAGGGCTGCCAAAGCCGGCCAACAGTCGTAGCAGTGCAAATCACAAAGCAAGACCGTACCCACCGTGTCAGGCACAAATGCACTCAACGTTTTCCGAACAAAGTCACATCCACCGGCCACCTGGGACAACCAGACTTGGGGACTGGACTAGGGAAAGAAATCTATTTTAAGGGTGCAGATTTAAGCCGAAACATGCTGAAACCTATGACCAATGTAATGCGCTCTTTTGCTCACAAAATAAAACTTATAAAACGTTCAGAGTGTGCCTGGCGCAACTCCTGGGCATCTGTGAATGCCCGTCCAAGATGTGGAGTGCCAGACCGAGCCTTGGGTTCCGGAGGAGAAGAAACGTCCAACATCTTCAAACATTCTATTAGGTTGTTGGTACTTCTTTTGCTGCACAATGTGCTAACATACGGTATCGAACAAATACCAGTCATTTTCAACATGACCATCATGATGGTCATTGGGGCTGCACTCATCTTCATTGTCGTCATCATTGTCATGATCCATCATCTTTTGCCCATGATCATCATCATCAACATCACCAGCACTATCATTGTCATCAACATTATCGTACTACAGTAGCCGAAACCATGAATTTAATCCTCATCATCATGATCATCCTCTTCCTCAACTACTTCATCTTCATCTTCATCATCATCATGATCATCATCACCGTCATCATTGCCACATTCACCATCATCATCGTCATCATCATCATCACCATCATCATCAGTACCATCATGATCAGCACCACTGTCATGATCAACAATTTCATCATCATCATCATCATCATCATCATCATCATTGTCATCAACTTCATCTTCAACATCATCATCATCATCATCATCACCATCATCATCATCATCATGATCATCATCATCATCATGATCATCATCATCATCATCATCATCATCATCGACACCATCATCGTCATCATCATCATCATCATTATCATCATCACCATCACTATCGTCACCATCATCATCATCATCACCATCACTATCGTCATCTTCACCATCATCATCAGCATCAGCACCACCAGCAGCAACGCAAGCAAATCACAGGTCCAAGATTCTGGGGGTTTGTACATGTTCGACCGAGCCAACATGCAAACATCACGGATGATCCCGTGCTTCCAACCACCAGAAGCTTTGAAGATGTTGAGCCGGTCGCGATGGACCACCATCAGGCCATGTATGCAGGCAGATCGCTTTCCAAACACACTTCCCTGCCACAGTTGAGCAAGAAACTTCCCAGTGTATGTATTTATATCTATTTATATTTTTACTGTATACATATACCCTTAAACTCTACAGGATCATTTGTTCACTAGTTTCACTGTGCACCCCAAGATGATCTGTCTAATTTTGAAAGCTGAACGTTTGTCAAACACGCGTCCTTGTCAAACACCCAAGTGAGATCTTTGACAATCAAGCTCCGGCTCTTTGCGGAAAGAGCTTTCCTAGCAAACCACCCAATCAAACACCAAAACATGCTGACCGGGAAACGATGCAGCCTTTATGGGAAACAAGAAACTGGCTAGTTTAGTTGAAAAATAAATAGACCAAGCGTCACCAGCTTGTGTTGCATGTCTCGGATGTCAGCCTCCTCAGGGTCATCCAAGTCCTCAGCATTCGACGAATCGCCATCAGAGTTCTCATCCTTTGCTGCCGTGTCATCCTCATCCTTCTCGTCCTTCTCAACCTTTTCCTTCTTCTCAGCTTTCCTCAGGGGGCATTTGTTTAACCGACCATATGAACCTAGACAGAACCTGAAGGGCATACATCCCCAGGCCCAGAACTTTGAAATTTTAAAAGCACGACTGACCAAATGAACACTTGTCCTGCCCGTGTCAGACGCTCTGTTGCAATGAATGATGATTCCCAGTCCGTTCCGTTTGTAAGCAGACAGGAGGTTTGTCAGGGCACACAAAGTCCAGTCGTACCGCGATGCCGACATCACCCCGATTGTGGTCAAATTCGTCCAGAGGATCACGGAGTGATCTTCCGGTGATCGGCATTCCTTGGTGCAAACAGAACCGCAAGACAATGCTAGCATTAGTTTAGTAAGCTCCGCAAGACGATGCAAACATTATTTTAGTAAGCATTCGCCTTACTAAGAATAAAAATGTTCTGAGTTTTAATGACCATCTTAGATTCAGCAATTTGACCCAGTGTGTCATGTACCCATGTTGTGACATTGGGCAATATAGTGCTCTCAGCCTCAAGCGCACGCCCTTGGAAGAATTCCAAGTTTGATTGGACGTACTCGGCGACCTGATCCCAGGCCTTCTTGTGCATGTCCTGCAGACATTCATGGATAAGCCACCATGAAACAAATTTCTAGCATAAAAAATCACAGTCCAATACGATGCCTTGGGTGGTGTTCCGTCCAATCCTGTGAATTACCAAACCAAGCCAAATGAGGTTAGACTGACCCACATTGCATCCAAACATAAAATACCAGGACCAGGGTGTGTCTTTTAACTATGTTTTCCTTGAAGGCATACAGAATTAAAATTTCCTTTGGAAGGGGTCCACGCACACCCACAAAATGAAGGCGTTCACCCCGAAGACATCTTTCAAAGGAAACCTTGTTAATAGCAGAAATCTGAAATGTAACATGTTTGGGGAACCTTTATGAAACTATCCTTCAATTTGGGGTCAGTACTGAAATCGGTCAAGCCCATTTTGAAAAAAATGTTTCCCATGTTTCCCCACAAACCCTGTGGTTTTGTCTCCTCCAGCTGTCCCACCAGCTTGGATCGCCTCTTTGCATGTTCAACTTCACTCCTAAGCTTGGCTGCGCAGGATGAAGCAAAGTTATGCACATGAACTACAAGGCACGAATTAAGATGCTTTGGGTGGTATGTTTCAACAAAACCATATGGGGTTGGCACTGGTTTTCATGAGGGTTCCCTCAGTGAGCACTAAGTTTCAAGATGTTTCAAGCTTTTTTAAAAAATTGTCAAACTATACTTTCTATTACTTTCTATGCTCATTCAAGTATCGAGATCCGGTCACTTTCAAAGCTGATCTGGTCAGATTGAAGCATCTCACGCCAAACGTTGAATGCTGCAGCAACTGACTTTGCGTGAGCGTTTTTGGTGCGGTCTTGGGCTTGACAAATAAAATCATCAACGCATTCACCACGGATCTGCAGGGTGACCCCCGAAGATTAAAGATGATTTGGGCCCTATACCGACTGTGTCTAAACCAATCAGGATCAGGATTCCTGACCCCTAGACTACATCATTCTTAAACAGTTGAACTTTGAACCCACATGAACATGGAACAAAATAAACATATTCATAATTGCAAGTAACGGTTTTCCCAATTTTACCAACTTATTTTCTGAATTTAGTTATATGAACAACCTCAAGGCCTCAAGGTTTTCAACTTTTTTGGTTTCCCCTACCTCTACCGAAATTTATTTTTAGACACCCAGCCTCCAGCACGAATGGAAGCCGGTCCCACTCGAAGTCTTGTGCGGCACGCAAAATGGTGCACAGGTCAGGATCCAAACTCCTTGGCCAAATTCTGTCGGGGAACTCAAATTCCAGAAAAACATCTAAAAACCAATCACCCGAAGAAGTTGTGGATCAGCCCTCAAATGGTGACGGTATTCTGGGAGATCCCTTGACAAAGTACTATTCAAAAAAATATTCAATCAAACTCAGGCTTTAAAAACATACCTGGACAGAGTGATTCCGAGTCAGCGGGAGCAAGTGATTTGTGACGTGATTTTCCAGATTCCAGTCACAGTCTCAACATGGTGATGGGATTCCTGATGTGATTCATTTCTTTTTCATTTTTTCCCATATCGCCGGAGCCGGAGTTCACAAGTGTGACGGGATTTCTGGGAAACCCTTGATGGTCACTCCATCCCGCCGGGATTTCGTCAAAGATGTGACGGGCTCAGGGAAATTAGTGATACCCCCCTCTGCAGATTGCAACATGTTTGAATATGTCAACTCACCACACTTATTTCTGGATAAGAATCCCACGCATGAACATCTCATAATGTTTCTGCACGATTTGCTTCGGGAATGCAGACTCAAGCTTGGGAAGAAGATAGTGCCACAGACAGCAGCAATCATGCAACATCATCTGAGCTTCTTCGTCTAGCTGTGCCATCTTCTGATGCAGGGAAGCGGTGTTTTCCGGGGTTTGTCTGCCAGGATCAGATTAAACTTAACAACAGTAACAGATTTCCTGGGATTTTTTGATTTGGATATATGGATATTTTACTATATTTTACTGGGCGGGGATCACAGGCAATTCAACACTGTTTCCAAACCCAGCAGTCCTTTGCTTTCGTGGAAGCATCTGGGCCAACACGTCGCGCGAAATCCTGCAGGGGTCCCGGGGCCACACCCAACACATGATCCACCAAAATCAAACTACTCATTGATCAATTCAGTGGGTAGATTGACAACGCTTGGATTGAACATGTCCACCATAGTTTGTTTGTGGAAGACTTATCCCCATTAGCCCTTTCATCCCGATAGTTTGTTTGTGGAAGACGTGTCCTGAGTAGCCCTCTCAATCCAAGTACGGCAGGTTTCAATCGATGTTGCCAACACCTCCTTGAAAAGCAGCTTTCCCTGAAACTTGGGTGAATCTGCTCTCGAGGTAGAACCAGGCACCCACCAGTCAGCTTGCAAGACTTCAATCGGCAAGGCTGGCAGGGGTGAGGATATTGGTGGCAAATGATAAATGATGAGAATGTTTCAACATAATCTTGGAACGTTTGACTCACACTGAGTATCTAATTGGTGATTATTTGGCCAACATCTTGCCTGAGCATGCATGGGGATAGATGTCGTAGTGCCGGTGAATAGCTGATTGAACTTCATCATCAGTACGAAGCCTCACACTATTCAGTGGGCCAATGATGGGCTATCAACTTTCATTGATTGGGAGTCGGAAAAAATGAAATATTTCCCAAACACATGAAAGATATTAACATAGTCCCAGGAACAAATTCATGATCAGACCCTTCATCGATGAGTCAATCTTGTGGGACTTTTTGGTCACCATTTTGTTGAACTCGCCGACACAACGGCTCAGCATGTCCCGCAATGCCTTACTCACACCTGCCTTCGCAAGGCGTTTCTCGACGGAGACTGCCTGCTTCATTGAAGCCAGGAGATCGATCGGGCTTGGGGCCTGCTTCTCACTGGTGGTATACTGCACTCCTTGGGCGCACAATAGATGTGAGATGTGAGCTGTAAGATGGGTTGGTATATCCATGTTTTCGGAAACAGTAATCGGAAGTTGGAACCATTCACTGTATATATAATATATATAATATAACTCTCAGTAACAATAATAATATATAAATTTAATCCATATATATATATATAATATATATATATATATATTTAATCCAGACGAATCGCTAGTTTGATATTTCAAAAGGCATAACCAAGAGTCGCAGGGCATGCAGGTAGTGGTGTGCAGGGTTGTCGAAATGTCGATAGCTGCATCTAATCCAGCGAAAGGACTTGAAGACTTTGCTGACGTGCGGCAGGTCAAATTGCTCTCGGGTCAGATCCTCAGGTACTTTAATTTCCATCTCGACAATAATGCAAATCAGCCCTAGTAGCAAACATTGTTGCCAAAACAAAGCAATATTATTGGTGCTATGCACAACCATGAAACCAAGTGGTGGGCAATCAGGCAGATACCAGCCATGATGAGAAGTTTGCAAAACCCATCAGTGATTCCAACGCTGCCCACAGCTATCGATCTCGTTCCATCACTCACGGGGAATTTGGTGATGATCGCTTCGCTGTCAATACGGTACCCATCCTTCAAGAATTCCCTGAAATGTGAAGCCACTTGAGTATTCTGTGGGTAGTCTGGCAGGGCGGAACATGCAGGTCACTAGAAGTACTTCATCTATCCGTCTAGAAACGATATATATATAATATTATAATAGCTTAGTAATATATTATTTTAAAAATACATTTAATCATGGGAATTACTTGACATCATTTTCAAAATCCCCGGCATCCAGATTTCGAAGATGCGCCCAAGTTGAAAGCTATGAAGGGCAGGTAGAACTCTGCAAGACTGGAGTTGGGAATGGTCCCCAAGACAGCACGACCATCTCCATCAGATCCATCTCCGAGCAAGGTGGTGAAGACCTGCAGGGCGGATTGGGCAAACCTAAGATCTTAAGAAGGCGGACAACGTGGGAGGAGTGGTTTGTAAGTTGGAGAAAAAAACTATCATGTTGAAATATGTTGGATGTGAGCCTGTTTCATAGTCTCAGGGTCTGTCTTGTTGATCCAGGCGCCAAAATTCTCTTTCTCTATGACCTCAGTCTTAGGTAAGCATGATTTTTAAAGGAACCCCCATCATAAGCACAAACCACAGCTTTGTAGACTGGAGTTTCGAAAAAAATCAGCCCCGGACGGAATCAAAGTAGGCACCAATTCTCTGCAAGACTTCATTGCTAGCTTGGTCATCGGAAAGTTCCACCATTGTGGGTTCAAAATTACCCTTCCCACAGAAGGAGCTCGAGCCCACACATTTACAATAACCAGGAAACTACTTGCGCTTACTGAAAGAAACTATCATAAATCACCGGCACAGCCCATAAACTGAAGCACTAGTTTTGCCTTATGACATCAGCTTTCCCCAGCTGTCCCCAAAACATTGCCTATCTCGCAGGGAGATGGTGAAAAACCACCTTAAGCTTGTATGGCTTTGGTGGTGGGGGACGTTGCCCCAACTGCAAATCACCCAGGCCAGAAAAGGCTGCAGGTCCTGATTCGATAAACTTCAAGGGTCCACATGGTTTCCGATGGATGCCTCCAGTGGCCAAAGACCTCAAGTATGCCACACCCCTGCTCATGGCGGGAAAGTCCTTTGAGATGTTCTCCGCCAGCTCAAGAAGTTCCTGAGAACGATCCTCATCCACACTTCCAGTCACCAGCATTTGGGTGGAATTGATCCGGTTGAAAAAGGCCTGGGTGGCATCCAAGAACGCTTGTGGGTAAACAAGTAAAGGAGGTTGAGCCAGGTGATCATCTGACATGGTCTGCTTGACCATGCAAAAGACGTCTCGGGTGCAACCCTCTCTTCTCAGCCGGCGGGGGACTCGTTCATCCAAGTCTAGGCCATGACCATTCCCGGGCATCCCTCAGGGAAATCAAAAATTAGCATCGCCCCCCTGGATTCAAACACTTATTTATTTGACATTTAGGTTCAAATTCAGATGGGGTTAGCACGATGTTTTAGTAAAGTTCTTGCCTTCCCGCGCCATGAAAGTAAAACTTTGTGGGACAGCCCAGTGTTCCGACTCTGGCCCATCACGATCACCCTTACGAGCTTTGTAGCAGTTCGACAAAGTAGCTCCCACCGGCATGAGCCGACACCAGTCACGTACCTTAGTAGGCAGATGTTACGGAATTAAGTTTGCAGGGGTGAGACCACTGTTTCATATCATATTGTTTGTGAGGCCAAGGCACCTCTGACACATACTCACAATCAAACTGCATCCCCGATCTTTCAAGAAGCGGTCTCATCCGGTTGATCAGTGTCCTGGATGTCCATGGGGGTAGATTTGTTAGTTGTGTAACTTGTGTACATAGTATTTTATGTTGATGAAGGGCCCCAGCTAAAACATATAATGGGTCTCCTGCAAACATCCTGCGGTGTCTGCAGGTCCATCTGGGAGTTCAGCGCAGATGTCACGACAGAGAAGATCCCATCTCAGGGGATGGGCAAAGAAGCCAGCTGTTGTTGTCAAGTAATTTCCAACATCAATAATTATAACTATACTAGCAGTAATGAACATATATAGCAACACTCTTTGTAAAATCAAAATAACAAACAACCTAATTTTCCATTTCGTGTTTGAAGACTCCATGGCCTATGTCTTCATGAGTGTGGCCCACCATCAAATGATGGTGGGCCACACTCGTGAACCATCCTCCTTGACAAAATAGGGATGCCCATCGACCAACCCAAGAATTACGAACTTCTTTGACAGCATTATCTGCTTGGATCCATAGCCTGAACTGAGAATATGCAGTTGAGAAAACCAGTTTCTTTCTAGGACACTTGTTTGGGACTACATGTATCAAACCAATCCCACTATAGTCTACCCAAGAAATTCTGCTGGGAGACTCCGGTTCTTGGCTTGTGCAATTGCATAGGCCCGATCAAGCGACCGCATTGCCTGGGATGGCCGATGCTGGAGGTTCAGCATTGCGGAGAGAATGCGGGAAGGGAAGGAAAAGGGAAGAAAGTTATTATACCAATACTGCTGTTGAGATTCCACTTCAATTGACCAACCAGCTCCTGTTGGCATGCCTTCATCACACAAGAAGAGGAAGACACCGACTCCGTGCACAATACATCCAGTCAATGTCATAGATGTACCTTATTTTGGAATGGTGCCTAAGGGGGTATGTATGGGGTTCCATAAAAAACAATATTTAAGTAAAACCAAATAGGGCAAAGAATGCATATATATATATATAAATTATATAGACATATATCTATATTAAATAAAAATACTTGCAGACAGCATACGATGGGTAGACTCGTAGATGGCTTTTTTTGGTGTCCTTTGACCCGGCCAACGTGGCAATGTTACTTTCCCTTTGTCATAAGAATCAATGATCATGGTGATCATGTCCCCATGCGTCTTCGATCTTTCCCTGGCAGTCCAATACACCTGTCTGTCAGAGAAAGTTCTAAAGAAGTGGTCCAGCAATCTATCGCTCCAAAGACACTGGCTTGCCACATCCTGGGGTTTTTGATTGGGCATGGAGACACCTGGCTCACAAATGAAACCTGTCTTTGGACGGGATGGTTAAACCCACGAAAACTATCCAAAATTCATGATGATGCATGGACTAAGTATCTTTTGCATTGCGGATTCGGCTCTTCAATGTGCTGCAAGTCAAGCAAACTTGGTGTTGGGTTTTCTTATGGAAACGCAAGGCAGTGCGCCATCGATCAGCCACTCCAAAGAATGTTGATTTAGAAGCTGGGGTTTCACCATGGGCTCTGCAGTGAGCTTGGTACATCACAAACACATTGCTCCAATTCCCGTGTGGTAGCTCACGTAAAGCCAATCTTGTGGGGTCATGGTTGAATGTGATCTGTGCAAAGGGTCCCATCAATCGGTTATCGATGAGTCGTTGGAAAAGTTCTTCCCGGAGACTGTCATCATCCTTATTGATGTTGGATTTGGCGATCATCCTTAGCTTAGAGATTCCATTTTGATGTTAAAAGAGAAACGCATCCATTTGAGGAAACCACCAAACAATAAAACCAGGTACCCACCAGCAAAAAGATTATGCTGTCCTTACCCCATCCTAACCCAAGAGACCCAGTTGGCATTGGCTCTGCAGCTGACCAATACAGGTGGATGAGGAAGTTCGTGACGCTGGCCGACTTCACAGCCGGATGAGCTGATGGGCCTGAGTAGGATGGCATGAAAGGAATGAGGGGCAGGATGGCACAAAAAATCATGACAGAACATAGGAACTATATACAAAATTATATATATGTTTTTAATATATATATATATATATATTATATATATATATATGTATGTATTATATGTCTTGGGATCCTAGTTCGTATTTTTTTTCTGGATGCATGTCATATTTGGATCATTGGTTTCATCTTAATTTGTTTGACCCTGCATAAATTATTCAAAGTGTCCGCCACGACCACCAAAGGATCTGCCATCCCGCCCCTGAAATGTGTGCCGGCAGCGGCCAAGACGATGCTTTCCCACTCCAAGACATCGTGCCCAAGCTTCATGACATAGTGGATATCCTGTTAATTGGTAGGGAATCTCTGGGCTTAGACAGGACATAAAGGATATCCTATTGATTGGTGGGGGCTCCCCAAGCTTAGACAGGGGATTGAAACAGTCCAAGACCACACAAGTTCACCATCGTTTTTAAACCTGCAGTCCCTCCAAGAACCATTTCTTTTTGCGTGGGGATCCCTGTTGAATACTCCAAAGAAGAGCATCTTGAGATGGCTTAGCCAAAGTCCAGAAAGCCAGGCATAAGTGATACAACACTTTGACAGGTAGCTTGCACATACATCTACACTGGGGCTGCGTTGCAGCTGACTTGATTCTAGTTGTGGAAATCCCTCGCTTTCCATAGTCAGTGATCTCTTTCTTTGGGATGCTCCCCATTGCATGTAAAGACTGAAGCCGGTCTAACGTCAAGTCAATACTCACAGGTGTGCATGAGGCTTCACTCCCGCTGTCACTGTCTGAAATGCTGGTAGACTCCCCGGAACTCTCGGAAGAAGCTGTCCTTAGTTATCTTTAAGTGTTTGAAGTAAGGGAAACCTATGGAAACCTGGTACTGCATCCCACACTAATCTACCAATGCGCACTGCAAACACACCTACTGCATCACGGTCTACATACAACCAAGAAACTTGTCTACTTCATCACAGGAAGATGAACTTGTAGCATCATATCTTTGCATTTCAACATCATCGTCGGAGTCCCACCGACGCAAAGACATGGCTGGCTAAGCAAGCACTAGTTAGTCGTGGCGATTGGCCAAAATAACTTCGATCATTTATTTACTTTTGGATAAATGGGAACCAAGTTGGGGTAGTGGGTACCAAGTTGGGATAGTGGGTAACCAAGTTGGGGTAGTGGGTACAGGCGCTCATTTGTTGGAACATCCCCCTATGAATGAATTATGTTTTTAGATAATTTGAACATAGATCACAGATATTTTACATCCTAAATTCATGCTTTTGTCATGAAGCTTATTCAGAACCAAGCAGCTGATGATACAACACCAAACAAGTATTGACTAACTGGCTATTCCCAAAACATTGCACCAGCGCATTTCCGTTGTCAACGCAAGAACTATTTTGACAGCCAGAACGAATCCCACCAATGCCATATGGGTCTGAATTTGGACCAGGCTAGAACCCGGACGTCTTTTAATTTGCAATCAAGCAAGGTGAAATAGGTTATCCCTCCCACTTTGCGGGAAGCCTTTCTGGAACACACGATGACAAGGCAGCAACGATGCACGGGAGCACTGCCCGCAGAGACATTGCGTTGCCTCCCATGGAATGTAGCACCTCAGCCAGCATTCGAATCCCCATGAGTCCCCCCCAGTAAGGTAACCGATGGTAACCGTATGCAACAGTTGACAAAATTGAAAATAGCTCAACCAAGAAAGGAATGAAATAGACAACAAGGAGCTCTCTCTGAGCATCCTTTGATCTTGAGCAAATGCAATGGGAATCCCATGAGAATGCAAATCTCATGGCCAATGAGGTAGCGCCCTTTGCTTGTGCAAAGGAATTTCCCGCACGGCCTTAGGTTAAAAGCGGACCAATTTACTTCAAGTGTGAACAGGGTACAACATGTTGAAAAAACATGACTTGAAATTCCAACTTTCCAGCATGAACTGCCGGCCAGCTGGCGTCAAACATGGCAGAGGATCAGTGTCGCTCTCTATCACTTGCATATGGCCGATGCTTTGGGAGGTGTTCACAATGCTCAGGTTCTGGTGATGCGCTGCCAGCAAATTCAAGGCCTACACACTGAGGATAACATGTTCACCAATGTACCAAACAATCCACAACTTTCAGTAGACATAGTATTTGACCTGCCTCTGCTTCTCTGTAGGTACCAACCTGTGCTGCTGCAGCTTTGTACCTTTTTTGAAAAAGTCTCTGCTTGTTGGCCTTTCTCACGTTGACCTGCAACATCCACACCAGTCTACAGAGTGGGAAAATCCGATGGGTGGGAAATTCAAACTCCACTAACGATATGAGTTGTTCCACCTGATTGTCTTTTGCCCAACAGCGATGGCGTTTGATCCACTTTGCGGTCTTGGCTGGCTGCCTCGGAAACTATTCGATGGTGCCAACCACTAATCCGAATAAATTAAATGCTCACAAACCTTTAGATCCAAGATACTTCATCTTGCACCTTCGGCTGCGACGCTTGCGCATGTCCCGGGAAACTGCCGGATGATCTTCAGGAAGCAGCAAGTCCTTCCTGAAGGAATGCGTGGTAGAGTTGGTTGGGGCCAGGACATAGGAATGTAATTTGGATAAAGAAAGCATCAAACATTCAGATAAGAAACCATCCGCATTTGGGATCAACTTTCATGGCATCTAACTTCTCCTTGATATAGGTTTGAAACTCTTGGTTCTTTACCTCATCTCTCATGACATCGCGTCTCACCAGTATCAGCTACAAACTGGCGCGAGATAGGCGATCCATACCGATTCCTAAGGTCAACTGGGAAAACAATTCACCTTTTAATCTGTGAACATCATATTTCAACTGATTCAGAATACACAATTGCAATGGAAGCACGGATTCAGCTTCACACACAGCATCTCATACCTTAGTTCCCAAATTGAAGGGTGTTTTCTAAAATACAATGGGATAAAGACCACATATTTCGTGAAGTTAGGTGAGGAACCCTGGGCAATTGCGCTCGATGAATTTGAAGACTTTGTCCAAGACGGAAAGAAAGCCTAGCACGTTCTCTAAGACAGCTACCTTAGTTGGCCCAGAGCATATCTTAAGGAACAAACAACACCACTGATGCCAGGTCATGTTATTTTTTTGGCTGAGGAACTTTGGGCCTGCATTTAGAAATCCTCCGAATACATGCCACCATTTGTCGCGCATTGGGATCATGCAGGCACCCCCGTCCCCCCAGACTCGAGTAGGGAGTGCAGGGGAACCCTGCTAGATAGAGTGCAACCTTGGGAAGTAATATGAAAACAGCGGCACGGAATGCTGACAAAACTGCCAGAACTACCCAACCAGACTCTTGCAGATCCAGTGGCTTGGTCAATCAAGGGGCCGTTGTCCTGCTTGAGCACCGTCGTGTTGAACCTCCGCAGAAAAAGGCACGGGTTGAGCCATAAAATCATTTTAACCATACCATAATAATATTTTTAACACTGCAAACAAGGGGACAGAAGTTTATAAGCCAAGATTCTGTTTGATCTTGAAATTGTCTTTCAAGAATTGCTGCTTTTGCGGGTGAATCTCGGATGCTGACCTGATTTTGTGATTTTTTGGGATGCATCCCCATTTGAACTTGTCAAAATAACGTCATTTTCCATCGTGAAACAGAGTGTGAAAACAGGGAACAAATGCTCCAGGCAATCCCCCTTGCCAGCAGCCCGGAACAGAAGTTGCAGAGCCATGAACGGCACATCTGCCCCACTACCTCATTCGAGCATTGGACATTGGAGACCATGGTTCTGGATTCATTCACTTTAGTGTGCATAATATAAATCCATTAAAAAAACAAAAACATGTACCCATCAAGGCATGTATAGGCCAAGGGTGTGTATCTATGTGAAATGCCTGTATCGTGCATGTGCCGGCAAGATGCAGTCTGAGACGTAGCCAAACTTGTCATCACCCCAGCCTTCGAACCACTTATCAAGTCCTGAGAGACAAGAAAGGCATCAAAGGGAGATGGATTTTGGAATAAATAGATATATAGATAGGTAGGGAGATAGATAGGTAGGTAGATAGAGAGATAGATACAGTAGATAAACAGATATAGGGATGGATGGATAGATGGATGGATGAATAAATTTACAAATGGGTAAGTGGAGAAGTGCATGGGTTCATTTACATGTAAGATATGGGTGTGCTTGGTCTATGACAGCCAAGACTCCAGATGACTGCAAGAAAAGAGAGCCAGCTTCCTCCAGGTGGTCCTGGATGAACTTCGGGATGACATGGTCCTGCATGAGCAGCACCCATGGAATATATAATGTAAAACACTTCCACATGATGATGATCATACAATGATAGATGTGCCCACATCTCATACAATGAAAATCTACTACCATACCTCGTGGCAGCAACCTGATTCTAGATCCAAGTCCTCCTCTCCACCAGACTCAGAGCTGCTGGAACGTGCAGTGTCGCTGTCGCTGGAGTCGCTAGAACCCATGGCAATATATGATGATCGATAGCTAAGTTTGTCCTATAGCTAAATTTGTTCTATATGATGATCGATACCTTTTTAAGGAATTCATGGCAATTGAACTTAACAAATTATATAGCTATGATTATGATGATTGCTTTGATCTTCCCAGTCACAATGACTGATTGAGCCACAACGAGTGACAGAATGTAAGAGCCACTTTGGTTTTGGAAAAGTGCCACTTGCAGTCGAACAAGACTACTTGGTACAGGTGGTTCTTTGGATGATAAGCGTACTGCAATTGATGTGGCGATAGTGAGGCAGTCAATCGCTCGAACAGGGTTGGAACCGCGCTGGTGCCCAACTGACAGAATGGCAGCCGACGGTTTGACAAAGGACAAAGGGGAGCCGCTGGACTTGCTGAGGTCAATTTTGAGATCAGGTAGGTATCAGTTGGCAGATGAACAGTTGGTGTTGGATCGAAAGAAAGAAGAAAGAGATCGTAGACGAGAAGTAGGAATGAACCGAAAACAAAATGCTGAGAAGTCTCCACAGAAACAGGCATAGACCAACTCATGCTTGCCGTCCATGTTTTTCCTGCACTCCCATGTACAGTGTTTGAAGATCAGATGGAAGCCAATGCGTGCCTCATGTATAGTCAACAGTTTTGCGAATTTAAGTGGCATAGGTATAAGCCATGCGATGCATAAGAAATGGCCACTCTTTAGTAACGTGGGGCTACTAGGGGGATAAGCTAAGTTTTTAAGGCTGTGGAAGTGAACACCGGATTGCCGTTTTTGAAATGTTCCGCCACTTGAGGTCCTGTGGTGAAGTCCTCACGGCACAAGCCTGCTCACAATCATAGTTGCTACCGTATCTCCAAGGGTTTCTGTAGTCGCAATGTCAGGTGCCTCCAAGCCCTCGGACCGCCCAGTGACTGCCGAAGAGCTTCAAATGGTTCGAGAAGTGCTTGCGCGCATGCAGGCTCAGGGCTCCTCCGGAGTGAATCCAGGCAGCACTGCCTTAGCTGCCTTGTCCTCCTTCGAGTCGAGCTCGATGCTTGCAGGCATGACTGATGCGAGCAAGCGCCAAAGGGATGATGATTTGCTGTCACACCTAGGTGAGGGCCCCATGTCAGAGGAAGTGGGCTTCTCTGACGCCGGCTTCAGTGTGGTGAGCTCACCAGTGGGGAAGTACCAAAAGTCTCCGCAGATGCCCGTGGCCCCGAAGAAGACGGTGCCAGATGAGAAGATTCAGCTCCCCACCGGAATTCCCAGTTTGACAGAGTGGGGATGCACAGTATGTGAGCTTCCGCGTGTCAAGGGTGACAACAAGACTTATCATGAACTGGCCGTTGACCCAGAGTACAGCAGCTATCTCAACTGGATTGTGCAGCATGGGAAAGGCAAAGGAGCCAGGTGTGAAGACTTTCGCAATTACTTGATCTTCGGCGATTTTGTGAAATCCGGTGCTTCCAGCATCACTTTCCCGGGATCTTCTGAGATCCGCAAGATCCGTTTTCCGTGAGTTTTGCATGGTAGTTTTGTGACACCAGCCTGCCAATCTCCAAATATGAAGAGGTGGAATCCTCTTGTTGATTTTTCTAAAAGAGAAGTTTAAGGAGTTTTGAAGCAGCACCATGTCACTTGCAGCTCAGGGATCACTTGCACCAATCGAGGCAACATCCGTTCCATCTGTAGCCAACTTTCATTGCTCAGGCGTGCAAAACAAGGAAGGCGGCTTTTGTGGGCCCAGGGGGGCCAAAGGTTCCGTGGAGCTACCAAATATATATATATATATATAGGGAATGGCGATACAATAGAAATCGCAATCTTCAACCGACAAACAGCTAGCATGGCTTGACCATATGCGACCTGGCCTTGGGATGCCGAAATGTGGGGCTTTCCCCGGCTGGAGGGTTAATTTCATGGAAAATCCTAATCTAAAATGGATGATCTGAGGGTACCCGGTATTTCTGGGATTCTCCCATTGCATCAGTCGTCGAGTTGCCACAATGGGCACCTTGCTTCGCTCCGACAAAAGCTTGCACCACATCTCCGCACGACACCAACCCCTGCGACGTGTCCCCCAGTCGGACCACCAAACAGCGAAAGAGAAAATACCAACGGAGATCTTGCAGGGTTCATCCCACTTAGCAGGGTTCATCCCACTTAGCAGGGTTCATCCCACTTAGCAGGGTTATCCCACTTAGCAGGCTTCATAAAGCAAGTAACCAACTACTATATATGAAATGATCCTGGATGTGTCTGAAATTGGGCACACGTTGGATCCGTTGGCTGATCATCATTTTCCACATGACATAAATCATGAAAAATGACTATTTTAAGGGGTATACCCGGTATACCCTATGTTCAGACACATCCAAACACCATATCAAGTTGGTTGGCCATATCCCATCAAATATTCCCATTATATCTCCATCTTGTCATTGTTTGATACCTTAGGTTCATCCATCTTCGTGGGTACGCCAGCATTTTCAGACACCCCAAAAATATGACGGGGATTCCATCCACCACGCCCAAAGATGACCAGTGCTTCTTAAGGGCTTCGTCACCACCAACCACAAGTATAAGCTTGAATCCCATAAAAAGACTCCCATGACACCCATGGTAAAACCATCATTTCAGCTGGTGACTTTGACATGTTTGATGATTAAACCACCATTTTTGATGGTTAAACCACCATTTCTGATGGTTAAACCACCATGTTTGATGGTTAAACCACCATTTCTGATGGTTAAACCACCATGTTTGATGGTTAAACCACCATTTCTGATGGTTAAACCACCATGTTTGATGGTTAAACCACCATTTCTGATGGTTAAACCACCACGTTTGATGGTTAAACCACCATTTCTGATGGTTAAACCACCATGTTTGATGGTTAAACCACCATTTCTGATGGTTAAACCACCATGTTTGATGGTTAAACCACCATTTCTGATGGTTAAACCACCACGTTTGATGGTTAAACCACCATTTCTGATGGTTAAACCACCATGTTTGATGGTTAAACCACCATTTCTGATGGTTAAACCACCATGTTTGATGGTTAAACCACCATTTCTGATGGTTAAACCACCATGTTTGATGGTTAAACCACCATTTCTGATGGTTAAACCACCACGTTTGATGGTTAAACCACCATTTCTGATGGTTAAACCACCATGTTTGATGGTTAAACCACCATTTCTGATGGTTAAACCACCATGTTTGATGGTTAAACCACCATTTCTGATGGTTAAACCACCACGTTTGATGGTTAAACCACCATTTCTGATGGTTAAACCACCATGTTTGATGGTTAAACCACCATTTCTGATGGTTAAACCACCATGTTTGATGGTTAAACCACCATTTCTGATGGTTAAACCACCATGTTTGATGGTTAAACCACCATTTCTGATGGTTAAACCACTAGTTTGATGGTTAAACCATTAGTTCACCATGGTATTCTACCCATCATCGTCAGAACGCGAACCGCCAACTGAAGCCTTTGGAGCCAGCTGCTGTAGTTCACCTGGCTGCCACCTGGCAACTAAAAAGTGACCCCTCTGTAGTCTGAATCACTATTGAAGTCGGATACCCTCTGGTAAACTAACGTAACTATGGAAAATCACCATTTTCATTGGGTAAATCCACTATTTCTATGGCCATTTCCAATAGCTATGTTAAATTACCAGAGGGTATCTCAAACACAATGATTGTAACATCATTGTACGTGCTTTTGCTAAAACAATCTACCAGGAACGCAAGGTTTAGCTCGTTGGCACGGTAATCGTTCATCAGCCATTTTTGTCGAACAATTCAGGAGATACAGGTATGAACAATCCATGGAAATCCACGGCTTTCAAAGGTCCTTTCCTGGGAAAACCATGGCTTTTCCGTATCTGAGCGTTAGCTTTTCTAAAAATAGTGGCTTTACTGCATTGTTCGTTATAGATAGTTCCTTGATACTGATTTATTACATGAGCAGTGTGAGACAAATCCCTCTGGTTGGTTCAGAACGGGATTTCCCGTTCGATTATGAAATAATCTCCAATTTTCTAATACATTGGCAAACGTATAATCCCCTATATATTCTGGTTGGTGGTTTCAACCTACCCCTCTGCAAAATGATGGAGTTCATCAGTTGGGATGATGATCATTCCCAACTGAATGGAAAGTCATAAAATTCCATGCCATGGTTCCGAACCACCAACCAGTCATAAAATTCCAGTTTGATAGTTTATAGACCCATCATATCCCAGTTTTGCGTGATTCAATTATGATCTTCCCCATTTTTAGTGATATTCCCCAAGTTATCCTACGGTTTTCCCCAGTAAACACCTCCATTTCTAGAAGATTTCCCATGATTTCCCATGATTTCAACAACCCTCGGATCCAAGGGGCTGGAATGCGTGAGGTTCGGAACGAGGGCCACAAAGATCTGACAGGCCTCCGAGGAAAGCCCCCCGCCGTTGAAAAAGGGTGTTGATGCAACAGCAAATGGGGGTTTGAGAATGAAAATTGATGGGATTTTACCATAGAATGTAGGGATTTAACGACTGAACAATGGATTTGGATGTCTGAAAAAGTGCTCGCTAAGCAACAAACATAGGGTTTTGTACTGGAAATTCAAGGGATATCTTATTATGGGATATCACTATCCCATTTGTTATATCTGAGTGTGGACCTGAAGCCCGTGGGTGAACCCTAGAGAAAATGACACAATTGGTCCTGTAGTTGTTGCCCTAAATTCCCCTACACCAATGCAGATATGAATACTTACCGGTGCTTAGTAGGGAATGGATGGGAATGGGGGAATGGGGTTATTATTGCTAGTGATTATGGATCATTCCCTCATTCCCTACTAAGCACCAGTAAGAATATGAACAATCAACAATGTCCACAATGGGTTTTCCACCTACCACATGATCCAAATTTATCCAAATCAACTAACCACAGTGTACAGAATCATGGCTATCAAGTGGTCATGATCACAGTGAGATTTCCCAGGTGTACTGGTTTAAAGCCTTGAAACAACTGGAATGTTGACTTTTGATGACCAAACTTCTCAACAAACTCCCTAGACCTGTGAACAATGACGACCCTTGGTGATTGGTGATGTGTTAAAAGGAAAGCAAAATAAAACTAATTTTGGAGGGTTTATACAATTGAGGTTGTTTATCCTTGGGTTTACAACATTAGTCTCAAACCTTCTCGATGACGATAATGGTTCCAGTAACAATAACAAGACCGGTCAAACAATGGCTTTGGAGGCCAAGAGTTCTCCATTCCGATTCTTCTTCCAGAGCTCTTTTTCAGAAACAAACAGAGCAAATCATGATCTTTACTCCGCGTGGATTAAAAAAAACACTTGACTTAAATGTGACAACCAGAGTATCAACGATTTGTCTGTATATTATTATTGCTATTGCCCAGTGTACATAGATGGTTCAACCCAACCCGCATGGGACGGGGGACCCTGAGTCCAGCTCATCCCATCTGAGCGATTTTTAGAAGGGCCCCTGGGGCTATTGGGGATTATCAGCTAACCCATAGTAGGGAAACCTTCAACCAACTAGCATGTCATGAGATGGGATAGGCTAAGGGCTATTTTTTGAATGATGTGATGAATTTAAAAACCCACAGGGAGATACGGTCACGTGAGATCAGTTTGGCTGAGATTTCAGCATCTACACATGGTTCATCTAAGCTCAACTTATGATCCGAATATATTTATATATATTATATGCACAGAGTTGCAAACACATAAACAAATACAATATCGATCAAACAGATTCAGCAGTTCATTTTATAGCATATAATATGCTATCATGTGCCATGTTTATCCTCCAGGGATCTCCATCAAGCTCGAGAAATATGGCAAAACATAATCCATCAACGAGTTTCTGGCCTCCACATATGCCGGGATGCTCTGTATGCCTCGCTGGGGCACGGCTGTTTTTGTGCAACCCTGGGGTGAGCCCGAAAAACACGCACATTATTTTTGTGTAGACAGAGTCTGTTCAACCAAAAGTAGGAACCATAAACCTGTGCTTTTTTAAATGTATATTATATGTATATCAATATGTACATATATGCACGTTTTTGTTCTCTTTAAAGTATGTCTGCATGTGTCGTATACGTAGATCTTGAATATGTTAATGATACAATGAACAGAAACACAAAAGTACCCTTTTTGAGGCAATTTGAGCGGGTTTGGGGTGTTTCCCAAAAATTAATCTACCAGGGTTTGCCAATCAGGGGTTGACACTAAAGTTCAGGAAAGGAAGAACAACGGAACAAATAGTCTCCTTCAAAGACATATACGCGAGTCTAACTTAATTCAGATATTGTTCTGTCATTCCAAGAGTGGCAACACTTCCTCGGAATCCAGCTGAAATTTGCAGCTGAAATGTCTGATCAGCACAGATGGGCAACTACGACACGACACACGTCACGAATATTTCTCATCCGAATCACGTCATCAACGTCTCTGGTGTGTGCTGGGCGACATTGTGCGGCAAGACTTCAGAATTGCAACAACAAAACGTATGCCATTTGTCGATTCTCCATCAATTCGTGGATTTCCCATTGGGAAACTCAGCCGAAATAGTCGACGCAGCAAAAATTCAGGAAGAGTATCTACCCTTTTGGCTATTTGTTGCATTGCTCCGGAAGCCATAGCCCTAATTCGATGATAAACATGATACTCTACTTCGTAAAACATGTAATTTCCCTATAGCAAAGAGTTAAGTTGCCAAAGGTTATAACCACTTACTTATATATATATAATTTATATACTGTATGAAACTGTTCTCGTTGGTCATATCCCTTTGGATATAAACCAAAACAATACGCCATCGTTCTCAGGATATTGTATATATATATATATATTTGTCCAGTGTTCCCCACTGTTCCTTTCATGTATGCAATATGATGTTCAAATATTTACATTTCCAAAATGACCCAAATGTGGATGTGTGTATATATATACATATATATATATATAACATGTATATATATAAGATTCCATACGTGGAGCATATGGGTTATGTATATCATATATATATATGGACTATAGTACCTAATCATACTGACAGCATCACTCCGCTTACATCTAACATATGGTTCCACGTTGTGGAGGCCATCCATTGGCATTGCCAGCACTCATCCAGTACCTGGTACAGTAATCAAACATGACAACGGAGAAACCAACCATTCGTATCATATCCCTATCTGGTTGGTTTTACAGTAACAATCTTGAAAAATATTAGTAAGTTGGGATTATTATTCCCAATATATGGAAAAATAAAAAATCTTCCAAACCACCAACCAGATATGGTTCAATGATGTTCCATTCAAATGCCCCTTTGCTTCGGGAATTGTTGGATTACCCAATGGTAATCCCAGTAAATTGAATTATAATCATATGTCCGCCATGTTTGTTGGTTGTATATCCCACTATATCCCAAGATATTCCATAAATTCTCGTGCTTTCCCCAGTTTAGCTGCTTAAAGGCACCATTGTTCCCAAATTCTATTGTCCCAATTAACATGTTCCCATTAAACATTGATAGTTAGTTGCATTGTTGATCATTTATAGTGTATATACATGTATCTGTATATATATATATATGTATATATATAGTCGTCCTATTACCCCATTCTCATCCCCATATAGTTGCAATGATGCTTAGGTACATTGTGAGGTTACTTCCATAAACATGCATAAACCAATTAATTAATAATTCATGATTTAAACTAATTCAAAACATCCATACACATGCATAAACTCCAAAAACATCCATAAACATCACCTGGTTGGTGGTTTCAACCCCTCTGAAGAATATGAGTTCGTCAGTTGGGATTATGATTCCCAATATATGGAAAAATCAAATTCATGTTCCAAACCACCAACCAGTTGTTTTTCCAGTTTTAAAGTATTTTATTTATAGTGTATAAACCCATCATATCCCAATTTTGCATGATTCAATCATGATCTTCCCCATTTTTAGTGATATTCCCCAAGTTATCCTACGGTTTTCCCCATTAAACACCTCCATTTCTAGAAGATTTCCCATGATATTCCCCATGTCTCCCGGTCGGGTCATTTGTTGGCCAGGTGCATTTGTTGGCCTCGTCCAAGGAGGTCCAGGATTCTGTGCCTGATCGTTCCTGAGATTCGACATGGGATCAAAATATGATGAATATTTCAGGATATTCTATGATTAGTATATGTCATATATCATATTAATATATATATATATATATATCATTTATTAATAAATATTTCTATGATTAGTATATGATTCAGGATTATATGAAATACACATTAGTATATATATATATATTAATATCCGGGTTGAAATATCCGGGGAGCCCCCGTGCCCCCTCATTTTATTAGTACAAACCTCGGGCCTTACCCTGGTTTGCTACAAAATGAACAACCACCATCAAAAACACCCAACTACAACCCAGGGTCCAGGGGCATCAACATAGGTTTGCTACAAAATGTCATGCCCAATGGCTTTATTTCTAACTTCAACATCCAACATGTTACTTCTTGCTTTGTTGCAGGTCATTTTGTAGCTATTACATCCTTCTACAGATCCAGTGGAGGGATTTCATTTTGTAGCCACATGAGGGCCGCTCCCACATGTTCTTCTTCTTGATTGCCAACCAAGAAACTACAAAATGTTTTCCGGGTCAAACAGCAAGTTGCTACAAAATGTTTTTTTTTTTTAATGTTATCATGTGTTATCCAAACAAGAGCAGCTACAAAATGGATTCACGGCCTCACCATATAAGCCCACACACAGCCTTAAAAAAGCTACTTTGCTACAAAATGGTGGCCCTGGGTGCATTTTTAAAACCCTGTTTCACTGATAAAATGATATAAAATGCATTAGGTTCTTAGGCCAGGGCCCTTCAATCTGTAGCTGAGATTTTAACGCGGATATATTAATGATGATCGTAATTAAAATACTAATATGATATTATAGTTTCAATGATATAATATATTAATCATATGAATATATATAATCTTGTTTATGATGAAACATATATGATATAATCTATACTAATGGGTTTAATATAATAGGATTGATGTATGTATATATATATAGCTGTGCATGTTATACACATGTAGTTATACATCTAGTATATTTAATTATATACATATTATATACTTGTATACTTGTACATATATATATAATTATATATATAATTATACTTATATACTTGTACTTGTCTATAAAGATATCTAAATAATTATAAAGATATTAAACATGTAGACAATCTAGGTCTTCAACGCCATTCGATGCGTTTCGCCATCGCCGGGGCTCGGAAAGGAAATTCATTGGACTGAAAATGGCCGATGGACTGGCGCCCATTGCCTTAGTGCCCCAGTTAAGTAACAGTTCGACCCTACCAGGGGAAGATGAGCTTATTATTGTGTTGTTCTGAAGAGGGTCTATGTGAATTTACCAGAGGGATCCAGAGGCTAACTAGTTCATTATATATGTTATATTCCCTACATGTAAACTTGCAAAGCCAAACCTTCACCAAGTGAACTCTGCGGAAAAACACCGTTCGCGATTTCGTTAGTTCGGGGGCCTCGCCATGAAAAAAATCGATCATTTTCCCACGGGAAAACCAGGGGGTTTTCCACATTTTTGTTGGACTTGCTCTAGGTTCTAGGGTACCCTGTGGTAAACTAACATAGCTATTGAAAATCACCATTTTTCATGGGAAAATCCACTATAAATGGCCATTTTCAATAGCTATGTTAAATTACCAGAGGGTAGATAAAATGTAGTGTTTCACCAACCTGACGTGTGAAGCGACTTTTTGGGATAGCTACCCCTTACTAAGTGACATGTCCAAATGGGTAAACCTGTTTTGACTCGTATTTGGACCATCATTGTGGGAATGCAATCAGATGGAATTCCCAGTCATGGGTCACATGTCAAGACATTGGCTATCTACTACGTTATCATCTGCGTATCAGTATTTCCTAGCCAAAACACTTGAAACCGATAAAACGGCAAAGAAATATATGACATGGAAAATAATATGTTGACTTGGTGGTGATCGAATTGGCAGACACTTGACTTCACGGGAAAGCACTTGCAAGGGTGAGGCCATAGTTCTGTTACTGATACACTCGAATATGTTACAATGTTGAGAGGTGAATACATATACATACATAATCATACATACAGTAAAATGAATCCACAACACAAGGAACACAAACTTCCTCTGTTCGATTGGCAACATCTCCATAGTAATCACGAGTGTGTCCGGCATGTGTTGCAGCCCTTCACGCCCCAAACAATGTGGCTTCGTCCAAAAAAGAAGTTATTTACCCCCAATCATTGCGGTAAGTTTATTTGAGAATTGACGAGAACCGATTGATGGTTGAACCACCCCTCGGAAAAAATGGTCAAATATGGTCAATTATGGATCATCATTTATGGTTGAACGTCAATATCTTCCAAACAACCAACAGGAATGAGAATTGTTGGATTCATATGATTACGTTATATAATTATATATCAGATTCTTCTGTGTAATTACAGATTGTTAGAGTACATTAAAATACCATGAAATCCCATGGTATTCCCTTTCTTAGTCGTATGTATAGCATGATGAATTTGCAGCTCAACTAGCCAAAGCAACTGATGGAGTGGCTCCTTTCGAGTTCCTTTCCTGTGCGGCACGGCCGGAGCCATACGCCGGGGCCGCCTCTGAATACCTTCCATGAATGTTGCATCCTGGATCTTAGGGACATGATAAAGTTCGTTGATATAACTTATATAACTGGAAAAAAATCCGTGAGACATACTAAGGCATGACAAACGCTCGTTCTGTGGATGAGATCATGGTTGCTGTGCGCCTAATTACGGTAATCTACGCTTCCAAATGGCTTCTGAACATGACTCCAGTACTTTTTTCTGTAGTACAGCATGGCATGGCGGACCTTCCATTGAAACAGGATCCAACATACAAACTACAATATGTTTCAACAAAAACTTGCATACTCTAGGTATGTTGGCAAACAAGAACAGAACTTTTGGCAACACAATACTTGTTCCACCAAAATCTATACTAGATGTACATAGATTCATAGATGTACCGCATGTATGTGTGATTATGTGTAAAAAAATAAGTAGATGTGTAACATCCAAAAGCGTCACATCAAGCAACAAAAATGGGAAGATCATCTGAATCTGCTGGTGTCACCCAGCCTGGCATATAACAAACTATACTTAATCTATTGAATTGCAAATAGGTTTACACACAGGGGATGTGAATTCCAAGAAATAAATTATAAATCATGAAATGTTCTGATTCTTCGTTCCGAAGCATGCCCCTCAGCGAACGTATTTCCCTGCACTATGTTCCAATGCTCCATCAAAAACCCGTCCTGTGGCACGGAAAACCAATCCATCCAGATGTAGCCTTCCTGGACTGATTGACCCCGTCGTTTTTCCGGTGTAATGAATCCTATGTCTCGATCAACCACCCAATTTACAAGTCCAATACTAAAGTCAGGGTGTCATTTTGATATAAATAGGCGGCATACCAGGGCATATACCAGGTATATACCAGGTATATTGATGTATATCATGTATATTATCTCATTTCAGGATGATTAAACCAACTTTTTTGGCACCATCGTGCAGCCGATTTTTGATGAAACTATTTAACCTCGGTTTCAAGGGGAAGGGAGTAACCTGGAGTCATGCCAGCCCCGTATGTGGTGGTTGATATCGCAAGTATTCATGATTATATATGATTATACTATATAAACAATCTGGCAAACCCACTTAGTAAACAAACCCGGCAGGATTTACATACCGTTTGCCCGCAATGGCCACGTGGTATTTCCCGTACAACATCACTTTCCCCACACGCCATACACCCTCAGGATGTGATCCCTTATTGATATTTCAACCAGTGTAACAGCTTAACTGGATGGGGGATGTGATCCCGTAAAGTCTTGAATCAATAGTTTAAAGGGGGTTGGGGATGTGTTGAAAGTCTTCAATCAGTGCACCAGTTTAACACAGAGGGGGATTTGATTCCTCATGGAAAGTCTTCAATCACTGTAATAGTTTGACGGGGGTGGGGTATTTGATCCCGTATTGAACATCTTCAACATGAAAGGCCAACACGTGGAGCAAGGGCGCGAACAGCCGTTCGCATTTGGGGTGATGTTTCCATCCAATACGACTGTACCCTCTGGTAATCTAACATAGCTATAGAAAATCATCATTGTTAATAGGTAAATCATCTATTTCTATGGGCCATTTTCCATAGCAAACTGTTAGTTTACTAGAGAGTAATGGTTTCTTATTGGGTTTTAGCACATTCTGCTGGTTTCTTTGATGGATCACCACGGTTTGAGCACCTTGATTTCCTCCCGCTCTTGGTCGCTGAGCGTTTTGTGCTGGCCAATGAACTGCGCTTGCAAATCCAATTCCTGAGGGTTTTTTGGACCATGGTAAGGAACCATGCCATGGTAACTATGGTTATTGAAATCTCCAACTATCGAAGAAAGGTTACCCCCCCCATCCAACTCATATAGATGTGACCATGCGTATAGAGAGAACCATGGTGTCCCTGGCAAAATCATCTACACATGGTGTTTATTTATGCGTGTTTTTTTTTTTTAACCATCTCTATATCAACTTGCCAAAGGGTATCTAACTTGTGTTATGTTTAGATATAACATGGTGTGCCACGAGTAGCTACTCTGAGTACCATACTCTTACCGTCCCTAGTCAGGCAATGATCTTGGCCAACAGATTGCCGGGTGGCGGCAAGATATGCGCTGATGCTTGAAGCTAGCACCAGTCTATCTGACTAGTTGTATGAAGCATTCTATCACCAATTTTGCCTAGGTGACTTCAGGAGGTATATAAATTTGCTTGAAACTAGTCCCGTTTCATGAAACCTGTGGACTTATAGCACCATCATCCCAGCAGTAAATGGACTCAGATTGCGTACCATTGCGGCCATCGGTTTGAGAAATATCACGGGAGAACTTTCGGTGGGAAAATGGTCATAATATGTCATAATTGTAGTAAGTATCAGAAAATCATTTGATTTGATAAAATGTGGGTTTGTCACCTTTTGCACTAAATGTTTTTCCCTATTGAAATAGTAGTTTTGGGGTATCTATATATACATATATATATATGTATCATATCATATATCCCCTATTTTTTGGCAAAGCCGTTTGGGCTTTCCCTTTGGGTATCCTCACTCTGTCACCTCCCATGCCAACGTGCCAGGAGACCACTTTGGTAACTCCCTCGATGATGTTTGCTAAGGCATCCTGCAACACCTTGCTGGGCCGCTTCAGCTGTTGATTCCCAAAGGTGTGTCCACTTGAGGTTGTTGTCAAGTAGGATGAACAAAAACAACTACCAAAAAAAAAAAACAAACAAACAAACAAACAGTGTGTTTGCAAATTTGCAAAAAAGGTTTATTGGACCCCCCCACTATGCTGCGAGGGAACAACTACAGTATGTGGAGATGTACATAACATCGATATGCCGAAGAACACTGCGAACACTATCCTTAAACAATATATATATACCTCTATATATATACACCTATATATATATACCTATATATAAATATGTACCTCTATATATAATTATACCTAAAATAAATATGTAATTACATATATAATAAATAAATGTATATATATATATCATTGTATATACACACAGATTCCATCATATTCCTCCATAATCCTCCAACATGTCGGAATTTGCCAAGGGACGGCCAGCTGTTCTCCTGATTCATCTGGGTGATCGATGGCAAGCCATTGGTGCGACACAAAAATCGTCAGAAAGGACCTGGGGCCCAGGGCGGCGCCAAGCCGCGGCAGGCGAAGCCAAGGAGTTACAAATTTGGGGATGGGTCAAAACCCTGGTACCTAGTGAACCCCAAAATAGCTGGTAAATGGATGTTCATCCCCCTAAAAATGGTATGTATAGGTATTGATCCATACCCATTTAAGTGCTGCCTGAGTCACCAAGTTCGATGTTGAAATATGTTGAAATCATTTATATAAATCCCCATGGCAATGTCGTTCATAAACGCAATCTTCGAAATTGTGATGTTCCCACTCTTTATTGGTGACAAATAAATCCACATTTGTGTTGGTCAAATCACCATGTTTCATGGTTCCATCATGGATGGACCCAATGCTTTAACTGGGGGTCATCGTCGAGGTACGGATGGTGAGGAACTAATTTCCCGGCCGCTTGGAGATCTTCGTGACCTGACAGCGTTTTCCAAGATTTCAAGACGGAAATGGGGATGAGTCAATGTTTTGGGGGATGAAGTTTCATTTACCAGGCTTTTGACCCCATGCGGGAACTTGCATTTTATGGTATGCTTATATAGATATAAAGATATGTACACGTTGCAAGCATGCATGTAGAAGTGGCATATGATGCAAAACGTTTGGTTTATAGTTACACCTATGTGTGTATCTATGTGTGTATATGTATCTATGTAATGCAAGGTAACGTAAGGAAAGGTAGGGAAAGGTAAGTATGTATGCATGCATGCATGTATGGATGTATGGTATGTATGGTATGTATGGTATGTATGGCATGTATGGTATGTATGGTATGTATGTTTTTTATTTAATGGTGTAATGTAATGTACTGTGAAGTAATGTAAAGTAATGTAAAGTAATGTAAAGTAATGTAAAGTAATGTAAAGTAATGTAAAGTAATGTAAAGTAATGTCTGTCTGTATGTCTGTATGTCTGTATGTCTGTATGTCTGTATGTCTGTCTGTCTGTCTGTCTGTCTGTCTGTCTGTCTGTCTGTATGTATGTATGTATGTATGTACTGATGTACTGATGTACTGTATGTACTGTATGTACTGTATGTACTGTATGTACTGTATGTACTGTATGTATGTATGTATGTACTGTATGTACTGTATGTACTGTATGTACTGTATGTACTGTAGGTACTGTAGGTACTGTATGTACTGTATGTACTGTATGTACTGTATGTACTGTATGTACTGTATGTACTGCATGTACTGCATGTACTGCATGTACTGTATGTACTATGTACTGTATGTACTGTATGTACTGTATGTACTGTATGTGCTGTATGTGCTGTAGGTACTGTATGTACTGTATGTACTGTATGTACTGTATGTACTGTATGTACTGTATGTACTGTATGTACTGTATGTACTGTATGTACTGTATGTACTGTATGTACTGTATGTATGTATGTATGTATGTATGTATGTATGTATGTATGTATGTATGTTTGTATGTTTGTATGTTTGTATGTTTGTTTGTTTGTTTGTATGTATGTATGCATGCATGTATGTATGTCTGTGTGTGTATGTATGTATGTATGTACGTATGTATGTATGTATGTTTGTATGTAGGTACACCACACTGTCACCACACGTATCATGTATTTATGTACCATGTAAAGAGTAACGTAAATGTATGCAAAAACCATGATTTGTGCTTGTCCAGAACACAAGACGACATACACATTTTTCTTCACCAGTACTCTGCCTGAATTCCAGAGCTGTTTTTTTTTCAGGGTGATCATTGCATTGGATTTTTCACTTTCTAACATTTTTCCTGGATTGCTTGAAGGGAACATTTACAGGAAAATACAGGGTTTTCCCCAAATTTTCCTGGAGATTTCCCCATTTAAGCCAATCCCTTAAGATAACATATTGTTAAAATGTGCGAATCATCCCATTTTTTCCAGTAAAAATTGGCGAATCATCCCATTTTCAGGGATAGAACACATTAGGCTCAAAAAATACACCCAACGCTCACTATGTCACTATGCGCCCAGTTTCTCCTATATAATTATCTACAGTTTTTGATTAATAGTATCATATTGTCTTGGGATAACATGCTACTGTACATCCCACTAGATCCCACCATGCTCGATCTCAGAACCGTCAACTGTAATCCCGAGCGAAGGGGCTCATGTCACAATCTGCTGGAAATTGGCATTGTAGATATCTGCATCCGTATATTCAAAAGTCATAATTATTCATATGTATATAGACAAAATCCTCCTTAAGTAGATAGAAAATTGTACTTCAGAAATACTCCCATGATTGTCATGATTTTTGACACTTCCAGATTCTATGTACTCCAGGATGACTATACATATGCATGTATATACATATAATTATATACATATACGTGTACACCATTCTACACATCCTAATCCTCAACTGACCCTAGCAGCACAAAATGCAGATCCCTTGAAGCATCGTTGGTCCACCACCAAGGCACATGGAGGGCTACCCCGCATTCGCATCACATCATGGACCTCCGCAACATGCAGTGGGCAACATGGGGACTAAACAAGCATATTTCTTTCAAATGGTGATTCAATGATTTATATCACAACAAAATATGTATTGACACAATGGCTCAACATTAATGAGCACAAAATGGAGGTTTGCAAAAATACAAATTTCACTAGGCACACATGTAGGTGAGACCCCATCTTGTGGTCCAAACGTGAAGCACCCGGAGCCAAGTGAGCCCAAAAATGGGGGTATAATTTTTGGCCTACAAAACTTGTTTTTTGAAAACCAAACACATCCAGTGTTTTTGGTCAGTAGTTTTTGTTGGAGCTGGAGAATGCCCCCAGATTTTTCACATGTCCAGGACATCTCAGGACTGTGATAATCGGAGATTAGCCCCCTTTTTCATCGTCCACCTTCTGGCGTTCTGGTTGTGGGACTGTTCTGGCGTTTTGTTCAACTTGTGGCCTCAAGGGTGAACACTGAGGTTTCCATTCGTCGTCCTGGCTGATGATGAAAAAATCCCCCTACAAAGACAATACTTTCGTGGGGGAACAAACATCATTTGAATCATGCAAAAACGCCACTTCTACCCCATCTATGTTGCTGAGCCTTAGTGACTTTTCCCAAAACATCAAAAAGATGTTGGATAAATCCCATGTTTGTTTCCTAGTTTTGTTCATTTATAGTGGACATAAATCATGTATAATGGGATTTATCCATTGATAATCCATAATTTATGATATTATAAATGATTAAACATGGGATTATGGATAAATGACATAATTAAAAATACCATAAAGCAATCATTTATTATTTGATTATTGATGAATCCCATTGCTTCAAAGCTGACAAAAACGGAGCCAGGTATCGACGTTGCGCACCTTGATGACCCACATGGTGGACAGCTGTTGATGAGCCCTTGCACCATCCTGGGCGTGGAGGTAGCCATCAGGGGGACCAACCCAACATGTTTAAATGCAAAGAGTATACACATAGAAATACAACGTAGTATTCTAATGAATGTACATGCCCTGATGGTGTTAAATCTATCCACTGGTGTGATATATATATATATACCTGGAAAGCCAAAAACACAAAACTTTCTGGTCATTATGGGAAAAAGCCGTAATGAACATTTTTGTTGGTAAAATATTGTTTTTACCCGTAATGACCAAAAAAATTGTCAAATCAAAGAACATTGCAGTCCTACCCGTAGCAAAACCGTATTTTTTCAACATTTTGTTGAAAAAAAAACGTAAAAAACCGTAGCAGCTCTCACGCAAGCCTACCCGTGGCAAAACAGTATTTTTTCGACATTTTGTTGAAAAAAGGCCGTAAAAAGCCGTAGCAACTCTCACACAAGTGGCTCCAGACGATCAAAGCCGTAATGACCAAAAAAAACGGTCAAGGCCGTTTGACCCAAAAAAAATGGGATTATGGCTTTCCAGGTATATATAAATATAATTATATACAGTATATACATCGGATGAGGACCATGTGCAGACCATGCATGACCTATCATGGCCAAACTAAACGATTGTCGAATTGAGACGCTCGACTAAGTTGACGGCGTCTTCCAACCACCAGGGATTGCAACCCATGGGTTTCGGGTACTCAAACTTTGATGAGCAATGATCGAAATTTGCTATAAAAATGGTATATCTGAAACAAACTATAGAATATTATGGAATATTATATATAGAATATTCAGATATTTTAAGTAACTAATGGCCATTGACAACCCAATTTGGGCATGTCAATTCTCGGAGACGGCTGACCATTACACAGATGGCATGTCTCCTAGAAGCGCCGTTTTACATGGCCGATCTTACAGGAAAACCTTTGTTGGTTGCTATGCTTGTAGGAAAAAAAAATATATACACAGTATATACATACATATCCATCTGCAAAAAAAAACTGACCAGAAATAAGTGGGGATGATTTCCTTTGTTAACCATCAGGGTTTCTCGCGACCTGAGGTCGACCCAGGCTGCAGCTTCGAAACTTACAGTGTGTTTAAGAATCCTCCTTCAACGAGGAAAAAAACAACAGGTGCATGTGATTCATATGACAATATGGTATAAATACAAATGATATAGTGTAACATTGTAATGCCAATAGTAAATATGTTTATATATATAATGATATATTATGATAATGTACATGTGTATTATACATATATATATATGTATATATATATGTACATATGTAATACATAGCTCTGCACGGCAAATTTGGCTTAATTAATGGTTCGATATGTTGGTTTTAAATCATTCCTGAAACTGTTCCAGACTTGAGAGAGAAGTCCCATGGCACTGGTTTCACAGACCCCTAGACTTGCGGAGAAGCCTTGTTGCATGCAGGATACCTGGAAAAGAAAATCCTTGAACTACACTAGAAAATGATGTCCAGCAACCAAGCATCTGGGTGGATGTCACTGACACTGCCTCTGTGTTTCTTGATCCCTGCCAGGCGGGCAGGGCCGGCAGTCGCTCATCACATGGGATTGATCATCATAAACCGAATTTGTCCAGTGCCACAGTCGCTCGAACAGCAATAATATGTATACACGCACTATTTAAAGTATATCAGGTACGTTCGAGTATAACATAATATGTATATTCCACTAGGATTTAGAAAGCTATGTATATAGTCTAGTATGTCTCTCTATGTATATATATATATATAGATAATTATAGATGCAGCGGATGCAGGATAATACAAGAATAATAAGGAACATATTCATAATATGTATTTTTCCCAAAATGTCACGGCTGTGTGAGCAACAGCTGCCAACATCAGGACCTCCCAAAACCACTCCCAGCGGCATAGGACTAAAATTAAATGGTGATAACCGATTCACCTGAAGCAAGCACTTGGGGTCACTATGAGAGTACAGTCACCCCATTATGGAATGATCACCCTATTTATAACAATACTAATAGTAATAGCAGGTAAAGGGCTTCAACTGTACCAATCAAACACGCCCAAAGACTTGCTCTGAGGTCTGGAATAACCTTAAAGAAGCCCCATATCATATTAGCAAATAGCAACATCTATTAGCCATCATCTATGCTACATGTAGTATCATGTTTTTTTCTTACCGGTCTTTTTTGATAGATGGTCAACAGTCAGAACACCATCGAAGCAGGTCGCAGGTCACAGCCTGTTCCACAGCATTGTCCCATGGCACGTGAAGAATGAGTACGTCGCAATTTTGTTTGGTGCTTTAGGAGTCGGTAATTTTGCACAATTGGTTGGACTATGTTGGTAAACCTGTTGGTGATACTGGTTGATGTGGTCTGAAAACATCTCTGCATGAACTTACTAGAAGATCCCTTCATCAGTTTTACTTGCACATATTTTGATCACATCTCATCACATATATATATATATATATATATTATAAATAGATATAACTAGTTTTTATTCATCTGGCCCTGTGTAGCTTGTGTATCAATGCACTTGGTAGGCTATAGTTTGTATCAATATGCATCAACTTATTTACTTGCCCTCTTGCAAATTGTTTCATAGCTATGATAAATCACCTGTTTGTGATACGTAAATCATCGAACTAAATAGACCATTTCTTGTAAAGCAAACTGCAACCAAAGGGTAGATCGATTGAACATATGCGTCAACTTCCATTCGAAGTGGGAACCGGGGAACCTCTTCAAATGGTAACAAGTCTGATGCTGTAGGCTGCTTGTAAGAAACACTATGTTAGACTATGTTATACACTAAACTCAAAAACAATAAATCATCCTGTAGCAAATCTTGAGAAGCTGATCATCTCAACCTTTCAGGAAATGTCCATGGAAGCGAATCACTAACAAAGCTTTCAGGTTTTTCAATTTCCTCGTTCAAAGGATCTGTATGTCCGGTTCTTGCTGACGCACTCAGTCTAGGCACAGCCCCGAGCTTTCGTTCGGCTTGGCCGCGACCGGGGCAGAACCCAAAACGCGAGACGACGGAAACTCACAACTGGGCCAAGCGTCTTGATGGTGTCAATTCAATGGATTGGTTCAAGGGAGATGATCTACCATCTGGTTATGACTATATAACATAGCCATGGAAAATCACCATTTTTTAGTTCGGTAAACCGGTAAACCATCTATAACTGGGCCATCTATACCATGGCTATGTTAGTCATAACTAGAGGGTAAATCATTCAATCGGAAAGCGATTTTCCATGATTCCATGATTTCATTTTATCTTTCGTAGCGCTGGCAGTCCCAGAAACGTCTCCCCGTTTGGGGAGGTACCAGCTGCCAGCTAAGACTTGAGCCACCACAAAACAACGATCGAAAGAAAAGCCGACTGAGTCGTCATGGTGTCCCAGTGAGAATCCCAGGATAAAAAAAAACAAAAAACACCAGGATTTTCCCAGCACCGATGCCTGGCACCATTGGCATCAAAATATAGATATAGATGAATGATAGATGCATGCTACATATTGCTACATGTCCATGTAGTTTATTATCAGTTACAAATTAAGGTTTATCACACCATTAACTAGTGAAAATAATGTTCGATATATCTGCCACAAGTCCTAGTGAAATTAGAGTTCTGAAAAAAAACAACTTAGCTATCGACCGGGGGCACCACCTTGTATTTGTTGCTTCATATTCCCTCTCTGTTGGGTAAACAATCCATGGAAACGTTTACATAGATGTGGACAACCTGAGAACATTATCTAGAAACGGCTGGCTGAAACCACATTTTTTCTACATATGTTTAATTTAGAGGTCCTCTAATTTATCCATTGTTGCTGCTTCGAGACCTCCATTTTGCTGGTTGAAGAATGGATATTCCAATGGGCCCGGGCGGAAGCCCGGGCATTCTCCCAACTTCCTGGGTTCATCCCAATCCCAATTTATCACATAGCCAACTCCAATTGCCCCGCAACTTTCAACATGGAACCCAGGAAGGGCCATGATTATCATATCCTGATATATCCTGTGGTAAAATTGAATCTTTCTGGGTGAATCATGATTCACCAACCTTACTTTTTTAAACCTTGTTTGGCCATATTGGGATAGTAAAGAATTGAATTCACAATCATTTACGTCCGGACGTCGTGACGTGAGGTAAATGAAACAAATTTCCAAATACATCAACAATAAATCCCATTTGTTACTGCTTAATGAATAAGTTTTCATAGGCTATACCCCCATTATCCCCTATAGTTATATTCCCCATTGGTTGGTTGATACCCATGATCCAGATCTTTGGGACAGTATCACCAAAACTATCCCTGGTTGGTGGTATACCTACCCCTCTGAAAAATATGAAAGTCAGTTGGCTGGTTGGTGGTTTTAACCATCTTGAAAAATATTAGTAAATGGGAAGGATTATCCCATATATTATGGAAAATAAAAAATGTTCCAAACCACCAACCAGTTGGGATTATCATTCCCAATATTTGGAAAAACATGTTCCAACCCACCAACCATATCCCCATTGTGCAACCATTCTTGTTGGTTACCCTTCTGGTAATTTGTTACATAACGACTGACGGAAAATCACAAGTTTCAACAGATTAATAGGTCAATCATCGAACAACATGGACCATTTTTCATACTCAAGTTCAATTACCAGCTGGTACCCTCTGGTAAACGTTTACATAAGTATCGAAAACCAGCATTTTTTGTGGGTAAGTTCAACTATTTCTATGCTTTTTGTATGTTTACCAGCTGGAAAATATTGAGATTTCCATGGTCGACCGTCCCTAGGACGCCGTGCCGGAGCCGCAGTGCGTGGTCGATTTACCGGTAAACCCGGCCTTGTGGGGCCACGCGTGAATAGAGTTCCTGGTGAAACCATGGGTTTTTCCACATCCATCTTAGTATGATCATGTAAAAAACCATACCCTCTGGTTATTTAACATAGCCATGGAAAATGGCCCATTTATAGATGGTTTACCTAT